TCCTTAGACACGCCCCATTATAGTTTTCCTCTGTGGCATCATCGGGAAGGGAAAGTTATTCTCTCGGGATTTTGTGAGCACGTTCATCTATCATCCCGTCGACGGCGGATTCGTTATTGAACCTAGGATCATTGTCATTAGTTTCTCGAGTATCTAACTACCACGGTTACTTGTCCGGTTCTATGATAATCGTTTCACGCCTCTAATCCTAATTTTAATGTAACCCCGACATATATATAATTTAAAAAAGAATAAATTTATTTCACTTAGAAAGATGGCAATTTAGATTCATTGTTGATTCTAACTTCTAGTTGCTGAATACATAAACTATAAACAAAAGATAGTTAATTTTGAGTCAGTCGTTATTTAAGTCGGCCGCTGTTGCCTCGGACGCAAAATTATAGGCAAAATTCATTATGGTGGTAATAACAGCTTTTTATGGATATCTCAGAAATAGAAGTTTATACGTATAGCAAAATGTTAGTATCGTGTCGGCGACAACATATTCAAAAACAATCCAAATCGCTATTGTGGCAGATATCGATAGTTACGGAATTAGATAATATTTTCCATTTCTCTTTATTACTCAAACAACCATATATAAGAAATATAAAATATTTATATCTTTGTAACCTAAAAATTACACTTTAGCATAATACATCTTTATTTGTCCTTTATGTATTTAAGATACAGAACATCCCACTAAGATCTATCCTGAAGTCAAATGTTTTTGTGACAAATTGTATATCGCAACAGCCAATCACGTATAAGTCACTCAAATAAAAACTTCGCTCATGCGTACAATGATGTGCATGGAAAATTAGAAACATCACTACAATATTGTTCTCAACAATTAGGAATGATAAATTTTTCCACGTCGATGATAATTATTATCATAAATAAAACTATCACAAAGCTGCTCAATCAAGATGTCAAAAGACAACAAAGATAGAACAATGTAGTAACAAAATGTCGAATCACGTAGCCATTTAAGCATACTCATGCAATACTCCTGATTTTATGACTCTAAAATTGTGGTCCACAAACAAATGACTGCCTTATTGAAAGATATCACAGTGCATCGCTGTGCCTCAGTGTACTAAAGCCTTGTATGTGAAGGTACAATAATGATTGCCTCAAAAACAATCCCCTGCTAGCAGCTTTTGAGGTACTAGACCCTCTAGTAAAAAACGAAAGTAACATGTGCATGGCTTTAATGAAACAGTAGGCGCTAATAACCCTGGCTATTAAATGCAGTTAATCTATAAATAAAAAAACAGAATAAAATTTAATCTAATTATTTATTATTTTAATGTGCGTTCAAAATGTTGATCTCTTTTTATTATACCGGAGATACGCTTGCACAAGAGTTGAAAATACGCATTTTCATGTTTGCACTCAAGTCTGAACATCTCTAGATACATCTTTAATCATGCACCTTAGAACATTGAAATAAAAATACTTCCACTTCAACAATCTACTTGCGATATATTCGATTTAGGTCATTTTAAGGTCCTAGTATGCGACAAGGTCGAATGCGTTTTAATCTCATTTTTTTTATGGTAAGCATAGAAAGACGCCTTCCCTTTTAAAAAGATATTACTATTACTAAAGTCTCAGAAAATGTGACCTTGAGATGATCTTCACCGGAGTAGCCTAATTTCTTTCTGAAATACAATACCATACTCTTGAAACATCTTTTTATATCATGGCAAATAAGAGAGTAATTACGAGTAGCAATGTTATGAGATGACAACCTCTTTTTTTGTACGTGGAGAAATCCTCATGGACACTCCGCTGTTCTAATAATCGCGTAACAGCAGAGAAGTGTTGGACTCCTACCGACTAAAATTCCAGGATGACCATCGTACGCGTATGATAAGAGTGCTCCAGGAACCTCTTATGAATTAACTTCTGTTGCACCCCCTTCCCGCGTCCTCTTGTTCGAGCCAGTCCTAATAATTCCTGGCTATTGAATTTGGCGTTAGGAGTGCCATTGCCCCTAGCGTTATCGCCCCTTTTAGTCGTGGTCCGTTGGGACGGCGATGGAGCGGCTCTAGGTCGCTTGACCGCCATCCTCCTCCATCGTCTTATCCTATAAGGGTGAGAGTTTTTCTTCCTCTCCCTTTCCGCGCGAGCATAACTCGCTCGCAGAAGAGGCGGGCGGCCTCGTATTCCTGTGGCCCTCTCAGCATCGCCTCTATAATCGCTGGGGGGGTCAATGTTCCTCCTGTGGCGTGCCGCAGGGAGTGTCGGGGCAGCTCCCACGCCGGGCAGAGCTCCAGGGTGTGCTGCGCCGTGTCCTTGTCCTCTCCGCAGTGGTGGCAGATGTCTGTCGTCTCCCGTCC